CTGTCATTTGGTTAGTTGTACAGAAGGAAAGGAAGACAAAAGGGGAGAGTATGTGGATCAGGAAATGAAAATGTTCGGAAGAGAGGAGAAGAAAAAGAATCTTTAAAGCTATAGTGTTTGTTTAGATAAAACAGGTTGTTTTATAGTGAAGAAAACTGCAGTAGAGAAGTTAAGGGACTTTCTAAGACTAGAGCAGAAGCAAGACTAGAACCCAGTATCTTGACTCCTAGGGCATTCTCTGCACATTAGCAAGGAAAAGGACAAAATGGGGAGCCAAGGCAGGAACGCTTTCTCCAATAGCCTATCTGATAAAAGCCAACTAGACTCTTGATTGCCATGTTGAAAGTGATTCTTACTGAACCAGACTTGGTCATTAACTCAGATACAGGCAAAGGCATGATGGTGAGGAACATTGGAGAGCGCTATATAGGGACAGAAAGGAAATAGGCTAACTTAACTGTAAACTTTTTCTGGGACAGGTTGGTTGTTCTCAGTTACTGAAAGAGTCTGAGAAGCCACTGCAGACTGGTCTCCCGACAGGGCTGAATGAGAATCAGTCAGGTGGCCCCTTGGAAGGAGACAGCCCATCTGCTGGTGAGTATTTAGAAACTATCTGGGGTAGGAGGCTTATAGAGGAGTGTTTGAGGACTTGCTATAAAATAGTAACATTTCATTTAAAATGAGAAATATATGAAGTTTATCTACACACAGAAACCATATTTATGTATCAGGGTATACAGAATCATACAAAAGTTACTAGGGGAATTTTACCAAGCTAAGGTAACCTATTAAATTTTTCTTTACTATAAGGCTTTATTTTTCAAAAAGTGATCTAAAATAGGATGTTTATATCCTTAATTTTCAGTTTTCCTTACTCTGGATTCTATAATCTATATTAAGGGCTCTTATTTACATCTTTCTCCCTGCTTTTGGAAATCTTTGTGGGAGAGGGATCTTTTATCTTTTTAGTCTTCAGTAAATTAGTTCCTCCTTCCCACTAAAAAAGGGAGTATGCCTGGAATCTTTGAGAGTATGAATTAGGATAAGATTAGTTAAGAGACATTTAGAATGGAAATTAGTCTGGCTTAAAGTTAAGATTTTATGATCTTGAAGGACAAATACTCATGGTTTTGGATTTTGAACTTTTTTTAAACTTAATATTATGAAACTTTTGGATACAAAAAGAGGGAATAGTATAATGAACCCCATGTTCCAGTCACCCTGCTTTAGCAAGTATCAACTCATGGCCAGACTCATTTCATCTATAATACCCAACTTCTCCTTACCTAGATTATGGATTTTGAACTTTATGTTTTAGGTATTCCTAATTAGGTTGTATAGATCCTTGGGGAAAACTGTCTCAGTATATCCCTGAGTGATTACAGTCCAGCCCTAGTCCTAATGATGGCCTGAGGGGCAGCAGAAACTGATGGTGATTCTCCAGCTATGCCCGTTTTTTTTCCAGAACTAGATAAGAAGGCAAATCTCCTCAAGTGTGAGTACTGTGGGAAGTACGCCCCTGCGGAGCAGTTTCGTGGCTCCAAGAGGTTCTGCTCCATGACTTGTGCTAAGAGGTACTACAGGCACCACTCCTCACCTCAGCATGGTTCCTACATCTAATGTCACACCCCTTCCCTGGGGTCATCTCACAGCTGATATTTTATGTCTCAATTGCTTCCATTCCCTCCCCCAGGTCAGCTCTTAAAATACCAATTCACATTTAGGGCCAGAGAGCAGGGTAGTTGGGACTCCTGGTGGTGGTGTAGTTAAGTGCTCGGCTGCTAACTGAACGGTTGGTGGTTTGAACCCACCAGCCGCCCCGCAGGAGAAAGATGTGGCAGTCCGCTTCTGTACAGATTACAGCCTTGGAAACCCCATGGGGCAGTTCTACTTTGTCCTACAGGGTAGCTATGCGTCAGAATCGACTTGAGGGCAGTGGGTTTGGTTTTTTGGTTTGAGCAGGGTAGTTTATAGCACCTTTGGCACCTTTTATAGCACCTGTATATGCTCTGACCTGTAGGTACAATGTGAGTTGTAGCCACCAGTTCCGACTGAAGAGGAAAAAAATGAAAGAGTTTCAAGAAGCCAACTACGCTCGTGTTCGCCGGCGTGGGCCCCGCCGCAGCTCCTCAGACATGGCCCGTGCCAAAATCCAGGGAAAGCGCCACAGGGTGAGCTTCTGTTGCAGAGCCAGCTACCTTTAAAATGGACCTTTTGTCTCCCTCTTCCCCTACAGAGCAATACCTTTGCCCAGGTAAGGGGTGTGAGACCAGAACTCTGGTTTCACATGGATTGCATTACTCCAAATTTCAAGACATCCTGACCTCCTTTATCTCTTCACACCTGACTACTGGTTCATGTATACATTAATCATTATACTGTACTTGAATTGAGATAATCTAGATTAATTTTAGTAATACAAGAAAGGGGAGAATCAAGAAAGTGTGATATAGTTTATACTTGAAAGGCACGTATGAGTGTAGTAGTGTCTTTGGGCATTTGCAAATAAAGTGCAAATTACCTCACATGGTAAGCTGTTTTTCCCCTACGCCCAATATTAACTCCAACCCAGGATGGTTGGGGAAGGCGGGACTCATTGCATTGAGTTATTCACGACTTGTTTTGCTGTTCTCTCTATAGGGTCAAGAGGACTCTAGTCGGGGCTCAGATAATTCCAGTTATGATGAAGCACTCTCTCCAACATCTCCTGGGCCTTTATCAGTGAGAGCTGGGCATGGAGAACGTGACCTAGGGAACCCCAATACAGCTCCACCAACACCAGAGTTACATGGCATCAACCCTGTGTTCCTGTCCAGTAACCCTAGCTGTTGGAGTGTAGAGGAGGTGTATGAGTTTATTGCTTCTCTACAAGGTACTGAGGGCCTCTCCAACAGAATCTAGGGCATGTATATGCTTAAGTTTTTCTATTGGTTTTCCTTATGCCATCCTACGTGGGCCATTGTCAGGGAACATAACTAATTTTAAGCAGTAGGCTTGATATGGTAGTACAAAGGCTCTACTGTTTAACATTTATTCAAGTTACTTTTAATATATATTGAAGTTAATTTCTTTCTGGCTTGTCATTGTCCTGTACCATGCCAGCAATTTTGCAGTTTCTCATCTCTTATTATTCAGCTGTTTCTTACCAGAAATTTTTGGAGAAAGGATAGTTTTTATGTGATACCCAACATGGATAAAAGACTAACTTTCTTCAGTGGAGAAGGTGATTAGAAACTAAGGGAGCATGTTGCCCCACTCCCTTCAAGGCAGGACGTTCTTGACAAAAGGATAGTTTTCTCCAGAAAAGAACAATTGTGTCTTGCTATTATTTGTCTAAATTCTGGGCCCCTGAACAAAAATGTCACAAAGGCTCTTGACTTTGATATTTTGCCAAGGTAAAATTTTAGAAAACATGCGCATTTTTGCCCCCTTTCCACCCAAACCATTTGGAGGAAGTTACTTACGTGGACTTAGTTGTAGTTCTTTCTTGACCTTGGCTTTTTTTTTTCTTTCTGATAGCCAGTTGCTGTAATTTCATTTTGCTTGCCATCTCAGGCCTGTTACTGACTTTAGGAAAAGTGAGTTCTACTTTGGGATTAACCATTGCTAAGCCTGTTTATTCATCTTTAGTTTCCCCCTTAGTCTTTGATATTATCATGCAGTTTCTCAGACGTTTCCACTGTTACCTTCTAGGCTGCCAAGAGATTGCAGAGGAGTTTCGTTCCCAGGAGATTGATGGACAGGCCCTTTTATTACTTAAAGAAGAACATCTTATGAGTGCCATGAACATCAAGCTGGGTCCTGCTCTCAAGATCTGTGCCAAGATAAATGTCCTCAAGGAGAACTAATGTGCCCTCTTGCACAAACCAGACTAAGACACTCCCTACTGTCCAGGTTGTGTAACCTGGTACCAGCAGACTTTGTAGGGAAGAAAGAGCTGTCCCAATCATGTAAATCTTTTGTAGAGGGGATAACTGAGACAGGGAAGAAGAATGCAAGAACTGGTTGGTGGTGCTACATGGCAGCAACTTCTGACATTTTCTCTGCGTTCTACTTTATTTTTAAAAATCTTTACAGTGCTCACCATTCCCACTGACCCTAATCCTATCTTTATAAAAGTGACAGTCTATATAGAGAACTAGCTCTGCTCAGCCTTATCATGGAGTGGAGCATCTAGTCAGGGTCTCACTTCTCCAAGAAGAATATACAGTATGGTAAGGCAAGGAAATGGGTGGGATGTAGTTTGCCTCACCAGGGGAGAGGTAGGGTTTTGTAGCTTGTGTGACACAAGTAGCAAAATCTGGAACTCCCCCTCTTCCCTCGGGATTGTCTCACTGTAGCTGTGGCCTGGAGTTTACTCTTTGTTGTCACTCCCTTAGTGTTGAACATTTTCACCTGTATCTGGCAGGGTCACCAGCCAGTGACTTGGTTAGCATCTGATTTGCTGCAGGGACTAAAAGTGTTTGACTGGCATGTGTGTGGCTGTTGTCATTCTTTCTGCATCCCCCACTCCCCTCCAATTTATCTGTTGTCTTCTATCCTTTTTTTTCAGTTCTTATTCTGCTGTCCTATAGCTTTATAAAACAGGAATACATGGGGCTAAGGTCAAGAGTATAAAAGTACCTGCCTTAGGCATTATTCCTTGTACAACAAAAATATTAAATTTTTTTTTTTTCCTCAGTAAAAGGATGAAAATTGGTCTTAGTTGTCTCACTCTATTGCAGTATGTCTTCTTTTTCCACACAAACAACTAGGCCAACATGGTTTTTTTTTTTTTTTTAATCTTTAAGTGTTTTTGTACAAAAAGTGTTTTTTTTTTTTGCATTTGAAAACACCAGGGTGTGGGGAAGGGATGCAAACAAAAAATAAAAAAAGATGTTTTTATAACATTATTTTTCCTGTTTAAAAAAAATCATTCCTATGGTATTGAAAGTCTAAAGATGAAATAACTTCATTTTTCTTCTACAGCCTATAAAAGAGGCCCTTTACCTATTGACTCATTCATCTTTTTTTTTTTGTCCACTGGAGCCACTGTACTCTTCAGTGGCCCAGGGGTTCACTATTACAGAAAGATCAGCCCACACTTCTGGGCACATGGCCGAAACAGAAAGGTGGAAGCATCAAAAGATGGAAAAACCTGTACCACAGAAATGTGGGCAAGATGACACTTCCCTGAGCCAGCAGAAGGGACAGGTGCAGCAGCGTTCCACACCCAGAGCAGAGGACAGCAGAGTCCTAGATGCCTCACTTGCACTTCATTCCCTTTCCAGAGAATTGGAAAAAAAAAATGGTCAAAATGACATGCCTGGGAAGAAAGTGCAATATATGTTTAGAAATACCGGTAGAGGGAAACCTCTTAGGAATAAAAGCTTTGCCAGCTTTTACTACAAACGTGCAAAGAAAATCAAGGAGATCACACTACAAGGTATGCTGGTTTTCCTTTTCTGGAACCCCTGTAGCATAGGTCAGTTTCATCTCCCTTTCCAACTGACTGGGTTTCTGTATTAGGCATTTTGGCTATATACAAACTGACAAACCCACAATCCAGGACCCAATCCAAGCTATAAAAGTCACCCCAATGCCAACAAATGATACCTTATAATACTGTAACTGGGAACATTTCACATTTTCCCCATTGTAATCACAGGTGGGAGAAGTGAGTCTAGGACCTCTCCAGGTTCAGACCAAATAGCAGTGCTTTACAACTTGGGCTGCAACCAAGTAACCACTGCAAGGCAGTTCCAAGCAGCAAGAAATTCCATCCAGATTCTCATGGAGCCTAGAGTAGAGTAACAGTGTGAAAACAACTAAAACTTGTATAAATGTGTCTGCTTTTTTTTTTTTAAATTAAAGGAATCCAGTGTCTCAAAAACTTGTGAAAATGTGTTTAAAAAAAAGGCCAGGGGGCCTTCCACACCCTTTTGCCCACTATCACTATCCTATCTGTATCTTCTGATACCAAGTGATAGTCCAGTAGCCTCTGCTGTCACTGGCCCTATTACCTCTATCCTACAATTGTACCTCTACAACAAAATAAGGAGCAAAAGGGAGTTCTAGTGAGAAGACAAAAAGCAAAGTGAAAAGCCAAGAGTAGTATGAAGGGTGGGATGAGATGAGAGTGGTGAGTGACACTTGAGAAATCTGGCTGGGTATGCTTTGGTTTAGGGGATTGAAGAGGCTGGACATTTAAAGTGCAATCACATTGGTAATAAATGATCATCTCTTTCTTCTGACTCCTCCCCAAGCTGGTCATCCCCAACACCACGATACGCAGCAGGCACATTTCTGGGTTTAGAACGGCACACAAAGTCACAACCATCCTGTAAGGAAAATACAAGGAAGAAAATAATTTAGAACATCCAACTTTAGGGTAAAGTAAGGTATATTTACGGTCTAAAAATGTGGCAAGAACTGGTTTTCTCCAGGGATAATGAACAGGAAACTCAAAAGATCGAAGAATCAGTGAAAAAGGGAGCTATAGGGTGAGTCTCCTTCTCTCCATCTTGTTGGGCGCTGTCGAGTCGATTCTGACTCACAGTGACCCTATAGGATCCTATAGGGTTTCCTAGGCTATAATCTTTACGGGAAGGAGTGCAGGTGGTGCAGTGGTTAAGCTCGCAGCTGCTAACTGAAAGGCTGGTGACTCGAACCCACCGGCAGCTCCTTGGGGGAAAAGACCTGGCAATCTGCTCCCGTAACAACTGCAGCCTAAGAAACCCTATGGAGCAGTTCTACTCTGTCCCATAGGGTCGCTATGAGTTGGAATCAACTGGACAGCATGTAACAAATCTTACGGGAACAGATCGTCAGGTCTTTTTTCTCTCGGAGCCACTGGTGGTTTGAACCACCCACCTTTTGGTTAGCAGCTGAGTACTTAACCATTGTGCCGCCAGGGCTCCATTCCCTCCACCTAAACGCCCTTAATAGCTAAACAGGACTTAAGAGAAGATATCATCTAATTGACAGTGTTGATCTTCTAACAAAGTCTTAGGCCAGAAATTAAGATGGTATACCTCTTATTACTTTGTACTTCAGGGCAACTGACTTTCTTGGTTTGCCTGGGACTTTTGCAGTTTTAGCACCAAAAGCTCCATGTCCCAGGAAGCTCCCAGTCCTGGGCAACACAGGACAGTTGGTCACCCAACCTTGTAAGCAGGCTGTAGACTCAGCCAGCTGTCCTATTACTTACGGCTACGAGGTTGCCAAGATCCTGCCAGAAGGCTAAGTGGGGAAATTGCTCCATCCCCTTGGCTCCCACCACCAGTCGCTGGTATAGAAATCCCCCAATGATATAGACAGCCACCAGTGATGCAAACCTGTAGAGGAAGAAGGACAGCTATAGTTAAAAACTGAGAAACAGTAAAACTCAGACACAAAGGAATAATCTCTATATTCCTTAGTTAACTGTTCCCTAAGCTGTGTTCTGTAAAAAACGGTAATAACGCTGAATGAGAAACAGGGCTGGTAGCTTCCTTAGATAACCAATTAAAGTTGTCAGTCTCAGAAAAGCAAAATGCTCAGAAAAAATGAGACATGCAGTGTATGTGTTTCCAACTCACTTATATATATGATTCCATTTCTCCAGTAGTTCTAATAATCTAATGGGACCATATTAAAAACTGTCCAGCCCTCCACAGGAAAACAAAAAAGCACCCCAAAATACAAATATTTATTGGGACAAAACATTAAACCTATTCATTTTATTAACTTGCATAGTCGAGTTTTAAGAAAATTTTTACAAAGTTCTTCCCCCTCAATTACAGCATAAAGCACACACACAATTCGTACTCATGTCTCATGTATCACTAAATAGTTATTCTTAAAAAAAAAAAAAAAGGTCTTGGAGTGATAAGAGAAAGTACTCACGTGACAAGTAATATAGAACCCACACTGAGGTGGGAGATCTCTGGGGAACAGGCCAGGCTGCTATCCATCTCAAAGAGGTAGAAACAATCTTGGACTTTGCCTCGCTCCTCAGATACAGGGTTAAAATTGTCCTAATGATCAGAGGACAGAACCCAACAATTATGAAGTAAAGTGTTTTCTTCTGATTCCTATCTAAAAAACACACAAAACCCAAAAATATTTGCTCCTCCTGGTTTAATAACGTATTTTCCACGAATGATGGGAGATGGATGTCTATGACATAAGGAAAAATTGCACTCCCAGTTTTCTCATGTCCATCCAATGCATCTTGCCCCCTTTGGAAGTTCTCTCCCACCTCAGGTTGGTCTTATCACCTCCCTAGGCTTATACACCCCATGATGCCTCACCGCTAGGGTGTGTCGGTTGCAGGAGATCATCACCACTGCACGACGCTGCTCCTTGCCACAGTGGCTGTCGTATTCATCACCTCCTTTATAAATCAGCATGATCCAATTACCTGAGCAGGGACAAGAAGAATGGAGCTATGGAGTGAGGGGAAACCAAAGGCAGATCTGGTTATACAGCAAAGTGGAACCGAGGAGTTCAGTGAGACTGGTGTTAAACAACCTTCATCAGTAAGAGCTCTGTGCATCAGAAATGCCAAGTTAAAACTTGCTTCCTTACAACAGCTTTAGGTTCTCTTGTTTAAGACAACCAAGAATCAGTTAACTCCTACAATAAAAATCTTAATTTTCCACATTAAAGGCAGGCAACCGACAGTGCAACACTAATTATGATCCATGCCTTTATTTAACACTGATTCACCTTTTCTGAATAACTGCTAACAGCTAAAGAAGAGGGGCCATACAATCACTGGGTAGCAGGGGAAAGCCCATTTAAGATTTAAAATTAGCCACAGATAAATTGAAAGTAGGTAATTCTTAAGACTGGACTACATTTCTTCCTCAGTATTTCCTGTGTTCAAAGGTCTTTTGCAAAACATCTTGCTTGATTCTCTCAAGTCATGTAAGGTGAATAAGGTAAGAATTCACCTTCTAATTTTGAATATGAGAAAACAAGATCAACACTGTGATATGATTTTTCAAGGTCATAGAACTAGTTAAGTATGAGCTTGGTCAAGAACCCAGGGTCTTTTGACCCTTCGCCCAAACTCTTTACAATATACTAAAGAGCGAATCATCTGCATTTGAAAATTTAGTTATTTGTCTGCTTAAGGTAGGGAATTAGAATATAGGTACTCAACACAGTCCTTTCCAAAAATCATATGATTTTATGATTTTTGAGGACTATCACCACCTTGAAAACTCTATGGGGCAGTTCTACTCTGTCCTGTACAGTCGCTATGAGTTGGAATCGACTCGATGGCAATGGGTTTGGTTTTTGGTTACCACCACCATAGCACAAATTGGTGGGGAAATTTTTGTAGACTGACCAGCTTACCAAGGTTAGACTCAAAATTTAACTGGCAACATTTGATTAATTTAATGAGAAAAGTCAGTGGTTTTTTTTTTTAGTATTCTCATAGTTTTTGTCATTTTGTCATTGTTACTGTATAATTATCATTACTATTATTGTTGTTATTCTTTCCCCAAGGAATAGACTTTTCATTTAGGGAAAAACCAAGGTGCAGAAAGCTTATTCTTCTATCAGTTTCCACCAGCTCTGGGATCTTCTTCAGGAATTTATTTGCTTGCTTAGCCCCATAAGGCATGCAAATATAATTAAAACTACAAGCAGCAATTGCCATTTTAACTCTTTCCGCCAGATTCTTTACAGATAATAACAAATTCTTCTATTTCAGTTACCTTCCCTAGTGGGGTTGGATATTTTTATGCCTAGCGTGAAAGTTACGTATTTGGTAGTATTTGATAAGTATTTCACTAGATTCTTCTTTCTGCATAAGCTTTTCACTAACTTTAAAATGCACACGTCATGAGCCCTGGGCCAGAACAGCTATGAAAACAGACATCCCGTGGTTGAGCGTCTCAGGTGCGCTGAACCATATATACTACGCCATGCTAAAGGGACTGAGAAAAGTCGAGACATCCAGGATTGCCAGAGGGACTGACATGGGATCAATCCATCAACAGGGAGACTCTTACTTCCATTGAAGATGTGCGTCTCATTGAGTCTCCCTATCACCGTCTCCTTCCCGTTACTTTTGCTGATCTGCACCAGGCCTGCCCCAGATGTGTGGTTACCAGCTTCCCGGCATACCCTGAACATGTAGATGTATGTGTCTGGGCCCTGGCCAACAGTGCTCTCAAAGCTGTAAGGAGGAGTGAGAAGAAAAAAGGAGTTATTGGCTATCAGCCTCAGGAAAAGCAGGCTCTCTTCTTTTAAACAAAAGAACGGCTGTGCTTGATTTACTTCTATGACATCATGGCTAAACGTAATAGTAAACAGTATTTCTTGAATCGTAAGACATCCATCACCAGGACAGACCGTCACCATTGCTGATGACGATGGATTAAAATATACCACCCAAGACAAGTACTCTATGTATTTCTAGAATACGTGATATCTAGGCTAAGTATTAGCTACTATTTCCCTATGAATGTGTCTGTGTTCATGGGATATTTCCTCATTCCTTAAAGATCACCTTCCCTAGAGGTGCCTGAAAAATCAGCCACTGAAAACCCAACAGAGCACAGTTCTACTTTGACACATATGGGGTTCACCACGAGTCAGGGCCAATTCAACGGCAACTGGTTTTCAGATTAATGTATCGGAAGATTCCTACAGTTATGGTGATTTTACATAGGCTTAAACATATTTACCTGATACTGCTAAAGTCCTATTACACTTAGAGATTGTCTTAGTCATCTAGTGCTGCTATAACAGAAATACCACAAGTAGATGTTTTTAGCAAAGAGAAGTTTATTTCCTCACAGTCAAAGTAGGTTAAAAGTCCAAATTCAGGGCATCAGCTCCAGGGGAAGGCTTTCTCTCTCTGTTGGCCTTCTCTTCGGTGTTCCCCCGGACTAGGAGCTTCTCTATGCAGGGACCCCGGTCCAAAGGATGCGCTCTGCTCCCAGCACTGCTTTCTTGATGGTATGAGGTCCCCGTCTCACTGCTCACTTTTTTATATCTCACGAGACTGCCTCAGGACACAATCCAATCTTGTAGACTGAGTGTGCCTTACTAACCCAACTGCCACCCATCCTCCTTCATTAACACCATAGAGGCAGGATTTACAACATATAGGAAAATCACACAGTACCAGGAATCATGGCCCAGCCAAACTGACACGTACATTTTTGGGGGGACATAATTCAATCCATGACAGATATCAAACAGGCTTGAATTCCCAAGCTGATCTCTTGGATCCAGTCTTACAGCAGCTACTTTTCTGCATAAGGTAAGAGAATTGCAAATAGCTACTAAAAACTTCTGAGAGTACGCTTTTTATCATAAACGATAGCACGGTATCATGGCCAAGTAAGACCAATATTGCTAAAATTCGGATTAGAACTGTCTCTCAGAGAAGGTTATTGTACCTGTATTCCCTCCATAGTAATAATGAAGTAAAATTAGTAAGAAGAGGGAAAAAACTATTTCATCTCAAGTCCCTTTAAGGTTCTTCTCATTTTACCTTTTGTTAAAAAGTGGTTTCAGCCTCTTCAGTAGAGCCAACTCCGTCTCTGACTCTTTACCCTTTTCTCCTACCAGGTCGCAGGATTTTTCTTCTGTCTGCCAGGATACCTTCACTGCCACAGCCTGGAGCAGCAGCAGGAGCAGCCCAGTCCTCCAGCAGCTGTAGAAGGGGAGCATCCTTTTGGGAAAGAGTATGTATGTTGGGGAAGGGAGGGATCGGGGAGAAAGAAAAGAAAGAAAACATAGGAACCTGTAATGAATGAATGGTATTTCAATTCTGCAGAAAGTATAGAATTCTTTGGCATATGCAACAAGTAGCACATTAAAAATTTTTTTCTTACAAGTATTACATTTTAATATCAGGAAACTCACAACTTTCAGTCTAATTCACATGTGAGTCCTTCAGAACGAACTATGGTGATGAGAAGAAAAAAAGAGGGAAGAGAAAGAACAAAAAGAATTAATTATGATCACTTGAGTGGAGACATCCTTGCTCCATTACTGTTTGGCAAAAAGTTAGATCTTATTCAAAGTTTATCTAATACTAGTTCATAAATACAGCTCAAACCAGCGGCTGTGCCTAACAAAACACTCAGATTACAACTTAAACGTGATAAGTTGGAAGTTATTGAGAAACATGAAAAAACACAGAAAGATGTTTATATTAATCGTAAGAATACTGAATGGAAATAAACACAACTTGACATTTATCTACTTTAATGTCTCATCTTCTCTAAAAATTATTTCATCATATGAGTTATAGGGAGAACAACACTCGCTAGGTCAAAATGGTTGAAGAAGTCTGCCAAAACTCACCTTCTCAGGCTCTACAAGTCACACCTAGATTTCCATCCACTAAGTATAGTTATCTTTCTATGTTACAAATTGCTGACAACTACTGGGAATCACCAAGCCACTTTACTATTTAGTAAATCTAATACTCTTGCTGGCTTGTATTATTCTGCGAATGGAAATACAAGTCTCCCTATTTCTCAAACTCATTTTCTCTTCTCTAGTGCATTTCTGTACCCAGAACACACTGATTTACCCTTGCACAAGACTGCACTCTGGTACCCATTAATGATCCCTCACGCCATTATTAAAAAAACTAAACCTCTGTGATTGAATCAATTCCAACTCATGGCGACCCCATGTGTTACAGAGCAGAAAGGCTCTGTAGGGTTTTCTTGGCTGTAATCTTTACAGAAGTGGATCACAAGGTCTTTCTTCCATGGCACCACTGGGTGGGTTCGAACCACTAATTTTTAGGTTAGGGGCTGACTGTAAACTGTTTGTGCCACCCAGGGACCTAAAACTTCATAAAAGTATCACTAATTTTTGTGATACAAAGATACAATTGTTCCAAAATTTTCTCTAATAAATGCTTCCAGACTACACATCTGATCTTTGGTTTGAGAACTCTTTAAAGTCCTGTAACTTTTCCACTGACTCAACTGCAGTTTTTGAATATAAAACCTGAAGTAGGCAGAACTTAACAGGTACCAACAAGTGTAAAGATAAATGAATGTACATCCCCTTTCAGACTAATTTCTTGTGAATGAGAGTAGGCAGCTAAAGTGATGCTTTCTGACACAACAGGTGTGGGGAAGTGATTCCTCATACAGTTGACTAGGAGGTGGAATAAAGAACTCACACCTCCAACTCCCACCTTCCTAAACTAACCTACTGTTCAACACACAACGTGACCAGCTGATTCACTAAAAAGAACCAGGAGTCGCCCCTCGTTAGAGAGATCTGGCATGCCAATTTCCTAATATTCTCTCAGAATTTAATTTAAAATTTCAATATTCTAGGCTTTCAAGATTTTTTCCCCCCAGAAGCAATTTTCTGGAGGATGACCACGTGGAAGGCTGTGTTCTTTGGCCTCAGAGTTAGTTCCTTATCTGTTAAGGGTTGATTTCTTTTCCCAAAACAGAACAAAGAAACTCACAAAACTGGGAAGTGATGAAGGGTTAAATACCCTGCAGTCAGCATTAGTTAAGCTGAAAAATCTTTCATTCGCTTTTTGGTTCAAAAAGGTAGGATGAGAACGGCACAGCAGTTAAATTTATTTTTCTTTCCTGCTTAAGATTTGGCTATATATACCAACATACATACATACACACACACATACATATATGTATATATACATATGCGCACTCACACGATATTATTTGATTCAGTTGCATTTGCTCTAAGTGCTTTACCTAAATTATGTTCGCTAATCCTCAAAACAATCAGAAAAGTATTATTTCCCCCATTTTAAAGATGAGGAAACTGAGGCTTACAAAGGTTAAGTTGCTTGCCCTAATCCACACAAGTATCAAACGTGTGAAGTTACTGGGGCAACTTAGACTATTTATGGCATAAAGATATTTGCTGGAAAACTTCTAACAAATACAGCGGTGCAACAATGCAAAGGCTCAGTGCTCCCTTTTTAAATGTGCTACATTAGATTCTCAAGGTTTGTCTAGATGCTTTGGAAACACAGGGCAGGATTTTACAATCTTGAAAAATTCCCTTCAATTTGCTTATTCTACAACAACAGATCTATTTGGTAATGTAAAAAATTCTCCTTTATTGGGATGGCTAATGATTACTCCAGGAATTGGGCCATTTGTCCCACTCACTTCCTCACCCCTCAAGATTAGCCATGGCCATTTTCCATTTCTGAATGGCATATCTACCTTCTTCTCGCTCGCTCATTTCTGACATAGCAGCCCTTATTCGTTTCCCTTGCCTTTAGCAGCCTACATATTCCAGAAGAGCAGCGCCAATTAGTTAAAAGGTCCAATGCTGAAAGAGCTACAGAGAGAAAGCGCCTCAGACTTTGTAGTTCTATATCCCAAGAGCGGAAGCTCCCAACAAAGAGGAACACAAGATAATCTCTGTATTAGTGCTCTTCTCCACACTTTACAGGCATTCCCCTCAAATCTCTTCCTAGTGCTCTGGAAATTCTCCCTCAATCTAGTCTCCTGGATTTCCAACTACTTAAAGCCATACTCTCTCCAAATGATGCCACTTTACCTCCCTCCACGATGCCGGCCAAACTTCCTTGTCAAGTACCCAGTGACACCTCACACAGACTCCAAACCTGGGGACCTTCCTTTCCCTGACTTTCGAATATATGTAAATTTCCTCCTTGGTCTCGGAGGTCCCTTCGGGGCTCTAGCTCCCTGCCCTCACGTCTCCGCCTCCATTCTATCCTAGGGCTCCTTAGCCGGATCAGAACCATGGCCAAGACAGACCGCCGATCCCGGCTCCTGTCACAGACGTCGAGGAGTAAGCGCTCCCTAGTCACCCTCCTACTCCACGCCCCTCATACTCACGTGCCACGGGCAAAGGGAGTATCCACCGCTCAAAATGCCCCGGTGAATTCCTGTCTGGGGCTGGGAGACGAAGCCAGCGAGGGGCCAGCCGCGGACCCCGGTCCCAGAGTTTGTGTCAGAGGCCAGCGTTCCCCCGGGCGCCTCGCAGTGCCGCACTCCGGGAACCGGAAACAGGAAGCTCCAAGTGGCCGCTGGGCAACTGCTCCTCCCACTAGACCACGCGGCATGTGACCACAGAACGATTTCACCGCTTTCCCTTTCCCGATATCTATGCTAATACTAAACGTTGATTGGGCAATATTGAAATGCGTTTAACTCCGCCTTTGGCCCACCAACTCCAATCATTATCGAGTTTTTCAAGTTAAGTTCCGCCTTTTCGAATCGCTTTCTACCAATGGGGTCCCTCCCAGGGCCTCTCGGCTCAAGAGCCCCTATCACGCGGGGTCACGCGCTAGATCCGCTCCTCGCTAGGTCCGATTGAAGTAGGTAGATGAGGCCGGGCGGCGGAAGCGGAAGTTATGGGAAGCGGTCCGACATCCGGTCCCTTGGTGGGGGTGGTTCTCACGCCAGGTCTCTTTCTTCCGGTAGTTACTCAGATTGTACGTCGTGTTCAAGAGCTGTAGCTCCGCTGTTTGCTGTGTTCGAGTCTTGTCTCAGGAGATCGTGGAGCAGATGCGTTGTGGCGGCACAGGCTTTCTTAACGACACTTTTGTTCTTTGTTTCCTTTCTACAGTTTAGAACCTTGGGACGTAATATTGTCCTTATCATTATCGTTTCTTTCCCATCTCGTGCCATTTTGCTTGATTAACAGTCTGCAACTTCATCTGTTCGCCAGAAGTTTCTTCTCAATTCCCCGTTTGCTCCATCACGTTGGGCATTTTTGGCGTCGTAGGAAACTAGCAACACAATTTCAGCATTTGTGCCTTTGCTAAGATCTTTTTGTTTCCCTCATGCTTTTCTTAGTAGTCATCTGTTGAAGTCCAACTCGTTTTGAAAACTCAGTTCAAATACTGGTGCTCTTGGATTCACTCTTCACAATCATTTCTTCCTCGGAATCCCCGCTTGTTGCTTGTACCTGGCTTTAGCTTAATTTCATTCTGTTTTAACGTAAAGTACGTTGCTTTTGTGTGTCCCTCTTTCGTTCTTTGCGGATAGGGAGTGGGTTTATATTCATGTTTCTTTCTTCATCAGAGCTAATACGGTGCTTTGAACCCAGTAATAATTACAGCTAACACATAGCGCTATGTGCCTGGTACTGTTGTAAGTACTTTAAACAAATATTAATTCACTTAATCTTCATACCAACGTTATGAGGAAGTAGGTTATACCAACTTTACAGGCGAGGAAACTAAAGCGGAAAAAGGTTAAGTAACTTGTCTTGGGTCACATAGCTATTAAGTATGGAACCAGTATTCAAAACTCAGGCATATAGTCTACAGAGTCACTAGTATTGGACATTTAGGTTATTTCTAATGTCTTATTTTTATTAATTCATTCAGTAAATATTTACTGAGTAACTGCCATGTACCAAGCACTGTTCTAGGTGTTGGGACTACAGGAGAGAACAAAGACAACCGTCCCTGTTACGGTGAACTTTCAGAATTGATGTTCATTGCTTGGTGAATTCAATTTTTTTTTTTTTAATTACGGTAAATATATACAGGCATAGCTTATTTTATTATGCTTTGCTTTATTGCACTTTGCAGGTATTGCATTTTTTACAAATTGAAGGTTTGCGACAACCCTGCATCGAGCAAGTCTATTGATGCCATTTTTCCAACAGCACGTGCTCTCTTTGTGTCTCAGTGTCACATTTTGGTAATTCTCACAGTATTTCAAACTTTTTCATTATTATATCTGTTATGGTGATCTGTAATCTTTGATGTTACTATTGTGATTGTTTTGGGATGCCGCGAACCGTGCCTATATAAGATGGCAAACTTAATTGATAAATGCATGTGTTCGGACTGCTCCACTGAACGGCCGTTCCCCCGTCTCTCTCCCTCTCTTCAGGCCTCCCTATTCCCTGAGACACAATATTGAAATTAGGCCAATTAATAACCGTACAGCAGCCTGTGTTTAAGTGAAAGGAAGAGTCGCATGTCTGTCACTTTAAATCAAAAGCTAGAAATGATTAAGCTTAGTGAGGAAGGCATGTCAAAAGCTGAGACAGGCTGAAAGCTAGGCCTCTTGTGCCAGTTAGCCAAGTTGTGAATGCAAAGGAAAAGTTCTTGAAGGAAATTAAAAGTGCTACTCTAGTGAACACGGGAATGATAACAAAACGAAACAGCCTTATTGCTGACACGGAGAAAGTTTTAGAAGTCTGGTTAGATCAAACCAGCTACAACATTCCCTTAAGCCAAAGCCTAATCCAGAGTAAGGCCCTAATTCTCTGCAGTTCTGTGAGGCTGAGAGAGGTGAGGAAGCTGCAGAAGAAGTTTGAAGCTAACAGAGGTTGGTTCATGAGGTTTAAGGAAAGAAGTCGTCTCTGTAACATAAAAGTGCAAGGTGAAGCAGCAAGTACTGATGTAGAAGCTGCAGCAGGTTATCCAGAAGATCTAGCTAACTGATAAAGATGGCTACACTAAACAACAGATTTTCAGTATAGACGAAACAGCCTTATATTGGAAGTAGATGTCGTCTAGGACTTCCATAGCTAAAGAGGAGAAGTCAGTGCCGGGTTTCAAAGCTTCAAAGGACAGGCTGACTCTCTTGTTAGGGGCTAATGCAACTAGCGGCTTTAAATTGAAGCCAATGCTCATTTGTCATTCCAAAAATCCTAGGGCTCTTAAGAATTATGCTAAATCTACTCAGCCTGTGCTCTATAAATGGAACAGTCAAGCCTGGATGACAGCACATCTGTTTACAACATGGTTTACTGAATATTTTAAGCCCACTGTAGAGACCTAGTGCTCAGAAAAAAAAGATTCCTTTCAGAATATTACTGCTCATTGACAAGCATTTGGTCACCCAAGAGCTCTGATGGAGATGTACAAGCAAATTAATGTTGTTTTCATGCCTACTAACCCAACATCCATTTTGCAGCCCATGGATCAAGGAGTAATTTCGACTTTCAAGCCTTATTATGTAAAAAACACATTTCATAAGTCTATAGCTCCCGTTGATAGTGATTCCTCTGATGGATCTGGGCAAAAGAAATTGAAAACCTTCTGGGAAGGATTCACCATTCTAGATGCCATTAAGAACATTTGTGATTCATGGGAGGAGGTCAAAATATCAACATTAATAGGAGTTTGGATGAAGTTGATTCTAGCCATCATGGTTTACTTTGAGGGTTTTAAGACTTCCGTGGAGGAAGTAACTGCAGATGTGGTGGAAATAGCAAGAGAACTAGAATTAAAAGTAGAGCATGAAGATGTGACTGAATTGCTGCAATCTCATGGTAAAACTTTAACCAATCAGGTGTTGCTTCTTATGGATAAACAAAGAAAGTGGTTTCTTGAGATGGAATCTACTGCTGGTTAAGATGCTGTGAACATTGTTGAAATGACAACAAAGGAAGTAGAGTATTACATAAGCTTAGTTGATAAAGCAGCAGCAGGGTTTGAGAGGATTGACTCCAATTTTGAAAGCAGGTCTACTGTGGGTAAAATGCTATCAAACAGCATTGCATGCTATGGAGAAAACTTTTGTGAAAGGAAGAGTCAATTGATGCAGTGAATTTCATTGTTGTCTTGTTTTAAGAAATTGCCACAGCCACCCCAACCTTCAGCAGACACCACCCAGATCAGTCAGCAGCCATCATCATCGAGGCAAGACCCTTCATCAGCAAAAAGATTTGACTCGCTGAAGACTCAGATGATGATTAGCATTTTTTAGCAAGAAACTACTTTTTAATTAACATGTACATTGCTTTTTCAGACATAGTGCTATTGCACACTTAATAGACTACAGTATAGGGTAAATACAACTTTTATATGCACCGGGAAACCAAAAAATTCTTGTGACTCATTGTGATATTTGCTTTATTGTGGTGGTCTGAAACCGAACTTACAATATCTCCAAGGTATGCCTGTGTGTGGAGTCCTTGAGTGGTGCAAACAGTTAAGCCCTTGACTACTAACTGAAAGGTTGACTATTTGAACCTACCCAGAGGTGCCTTAGAAGAAAGGCCTAGGGATCTGCTTCCGAAAGGACACAACCTTGAAAATCCTATGGCAAGAAGTTTTGCTCTGCAACACATGGGGTTGCTGACTCGGCCACTGGTATTATAAATATCTATGTAATGAATTGAAATTTTGATTTCAGAAATCTTAACTCTTGGTTATTGCCTGGTGTAGCATTGGGCAGGAGGGAGGGAAGTGTATGGGTTGGAAGTCGAGAAAGGGCTAGAAATGCAATTGAGTGGGTTGGATAATAGCTTAGCTTGTGTGGGGTTTGGGTGTGGTCTCCTTTCCTTCTTGCAAGTAACCCAGGTCACTCCTCTGCTTCTCAGACTTCAGTGCCCATTCTTGGAGTGTTCTGTATCAGAACTCTGACCACAGAGAGCTGATCTCAAGGTTCTTGCCATGGGTAAAATTTGAAATTAGCAGTCCTTGTTTAGTTTCTGCTTTGCTTTTCTCTAGCCTCATCATTGACTATAACCTCCCTCCCCCAACCTCCACACACACCCTCCTCCTCATGCAGGTAAATTGATCACTTTGTTTAGAAAGCCGTTCTAGAAGTTTTGTCCTGAAATCAAATGCTGAGGATGCCTCCTTTTCAGTAGAAGCAGAAGAGAGGAAATGCTGACACATCTAGATATTCTGGGTGCTTCCTTCAATTCATTGCTCTGATAATTGTCCCAGATCTGCTCTTGCTTTGTATTTTTTACTGTGAGTGAGGAACTTCTCTGGGACTTTGTTGGGAAGGATTTTTTAACCTCTCAACAGCTTTCTTTTGTATGAATTTTGTGTTACAGTTTTTGGTTTAGTACACTGTCAGTCACATCCTACCTCATCACAATTTCTGATCTGCTCAGGGATCTTTTTAAATTTGGTGGTTGCTTGGGGCTGTTATTTATATAGTCAGTAATTTTTCTATTGTTTGATTAAAAATATTGGTTTTGAATTTTTTAAATTTTTTGGTTTTAATTTCGTATTCTGTCTTCTTAAATTGGAAACATTATTTGTTTTAAACCTTTCTTCTTTTCTGTTTTATTCATTTAAAGCTACAGAGTTCCTGTAAGCAATGTTTTAGCTGTGTTTGAGAAATTTTTATATTGTATTTTCATAATCA